CTAATTCAAAAATTATTCTTGCAAGATAGATATACAATATGATATGAGCAAGAATATACAATATGAATAAAGAGATATATCCTAACAAAGAGGTATATGATAAAATATATGTAAGGATATATAAACTAATGCAATGGTAAAATAAACATAAACTAGATAGTGGGTTAAATAAACAAAGAGCAATACACAATGGCGATATAAGATACGAACATGAAAATAAGTACGTCAATACAATCTCAAACAAATGATATGTTCACAGAGTTCAGTCCCCACGACCTACGTCTCCGCTCCTCGCCTCGAGGAGATCTCCACTATCACAACCAGGTTTTCTACGCTTACTCGAATAACGTTTACACCTCACAATATCGGTTTTTAACGCTCACCGATCAACGTTCACACCTCACACTCTCACTCGGTTTTCTAGCTCATCGAAAACTTTACAACAACACACTCGGTTTTCTAGCTCACCGAAAACTTTACAATCTCACAATATAATAAATTATTTGTTCTCTACAATAAATGAGAACTCAATGTAAACTCACTCTCAAAGTTACAACACTCATCAACCCAAATATACTATGTATGAATATAATAAGCCCAATGTGGGTGTGTGTAAACAATGAGTGAAATCAAATCAAATCAAACTAAACTTAATATAAATTCTAGCTTATGGAAATAAAAATCAAACAAATAAATAGCTAGATATAAGTTTAGATAAACTTCTCTAGATGACAAAAGAGAGAGGAGAAGAGTTGAATGCTCAAACAACAATGGATGATCTCCTCAAGCTCTTGTGAAAGTTTCTTCACAAACAAACTCTTGAAACAAACTTAAAAGCCCTTAAACAAACTTGTAAAACTCTTTTTAAAACTCTTTAAACATCCATAAGAAACAATGAAAGTTGAGAGCATTTTATAGCCTTTTAAACCAGCCACAAACCCCCAAAAACCGAAAATATCAAAAACTAGCCATTACTAGCCGTTATAGGCTGAAAAGACCAAAATACCCCTAAATTCAGCATTCTGGAAATTTACGTATCTGACTTTGTAAAATCAATTAAAAAATAGTAATTCAACTCTAAAAATCATGAAATTTTGAGAAAGGTTCTAGACATGTAGATAAACATGTTAGAGAAAGAAATTTTGAAATATCATTTCCCAGTTTATAGAAATAACTGTTTGAATACAGATATCCGGTTTCTAAAAAAAACTGCTAAAAACTTGGTTTTGTAAATTCAACTGAAAATAACAAAACAACTCCAAAATTAGTAAAACTTAGGAAAATGTTTGTATATATGAAGATAAACATGTAAACGAAGAAATTTTTCAAATCGTATTTTCCAATTGTGAAAACGTATCTGTTTTGCAAAAACATGCACGAACATGTGCACGAACATGAGCTTATTAAAAACTTGATTTTGTAAATTCAAATAAATATAACAAATTAATTCCAAAATTGATAATACTTTGGGAAACATTTATAAACATGAAATTGAACATGTTAGAAAAAAAATTTCTCAAATTAAGTTTCTCATTTGTGAAAACTCATGTATTTTGCAAGTGTGTCCAAAACATGAAAATGTGATATACATGAAATTTGATGTTTTGACATAAACAATGTTTTAAAACCCTATGAAATGATTTTATAGACTTAATGAAATATGTATACAATGATTGTTAAATCTATAAACCAAAACTTGTGTATATATATATATATAACTATATATATAAAAACTAAATATGTGTGTGTATATATGATTGAGCTTAAAGTACTAATACACATAATATAAAACCTAAACTAAATATACCTAAACTTGATTGATCTTCGATGAAGCTCAACTTGGTACACTTACGGATGAAGCTAGAACTTGGATCTTTAATTTGAATTGCATAGGCTTCACTCCACAATTCCGCCAACCTCTATTGGATATGATCGTGAATGCGCAATTCCATACATCCTCCAACTTGTTATTTTTCTACAATAAATAGAAATATACAAATACTAGAAAAACAACATTAGTGATAAATTATTTGTTAAACATCATTTAAACAAAGAGGCCAACATTTTTGACGGTTTAAGTGGTTTTCTCAGGATTTATCTATTCCAGGGGTTTCCAACTGACTTGATATCATCCACAAATATGGTTAGACCATTATTGACTGAAGATATGACCAAATCCATCATTCTTATCTGAAAACCCCTAACCGAAGCCTATAAATACAGGCTTAGGGGTTCATTTCATGAAGAGGAGATCAAGAGGGCGAAACACTTTCGAATTGGAGAGTGGAGCCACGAATTTACAGCGAGGGTTAGCAGATCTTAGCGAGTTCCTGTGCATAAAGAGTGGAGTTCGAGAAATATGAGACTCGTACCATATTCCTCCGGATTTAAGCTTAGTCTTAATCTCGAGAAGAGCCGTAATCTCGCTTGGTCGAGATTATCGCTGCAGCGAATACTTCCTTTGTGAAGTAGGAGCTTTGATTCCATAATCTGTCAACCGGATCTGATCCGAGGTGGTCCACGGATATCAATGTCCTCGGCACAGGCAAAGATCCCACGCAAGCAGCGGGTGATAAATGTCCGTTACGCTGTTTGACAAGAGTTATACTTTTTGTATTTTCATTATATAAGGAAATCTTATAAAAAGATCGATCTTTTTTTGTTTATTTGAGTTTATTATAACGACCAAAGTTGTAATAAATTTGATGGCAATGAAAACATCAACTTTTGACTCCAAACAGTCGGCTCTATGCCTCTTCATTTTGTAAAACCAACTCAAGAAATTCTCAAGATGGCCAAATAAAAAGGTGTCTTTTTATCTACCCACTGGAAAAATCGAGAGGAAATGTGGTCACTCTCGAACCCCACGCCGATAGCCGATCACCATCACATTAAATGCATGGTGTGAGTCATCATGACTACGACCCCGAAAGTCTTAATGACTTATTAGATCTCGTCAGCACCTTACTTTAATTGTCATCCATGCATTAATCAAGAAGGTGACACACACCATTCGTAGCCAACAACTATAAAGTATTAGTTGAATAAGCTGACTGCTTGGACTCGGTCGAAGTTACAAAATTGCCCTCCTGCATCTGCTATAATAGATGTCATGCCTACTGCATGGAGATACGTGATTTCTGGCAAGAGAACACACTGCAATCCTATTTTTCTCCTCCACTTAAGATCAATACTAACTTGACTTTTTTTTTAAAGGGACCCCCGGATAACTCAACTCTGATCCTCTTACATATTGTTTGTGCACAGGACTGAATTCTCTGCTCAGCAACCCTAAAACCAAACATAACTCACGCTAAATTTCCCAATTTGATATCTAACATCAACACTATTGTTATATGTTTTTAAAAAGCTCAGGAAGTGCTCTACAAGTTGAACTGCTTTGCCGTTCCAAACCGAGTTTTGACGTCAAAGGAATTCTTCTTCAGGCTCAAAGTGCGCGTCGAAGAGTTTTGGTTTAATTTAGTTCCTACTTTTTATGGAACATTCTTTTTATTTTAGGAGGCCTAATTGTTCTAAGAAAGATTATTTTAGTACTTTTGATTTGTTTTACACCCTATATAAGGGAAACTAATTTGTGAACTCCTTAGATTGGTTTTTATTCAGAAGTTTTTTATTACTTGGGTTTCTAGGGTTTGTGCCGTTTTGCTCGTACAAGAACGAGTAGTCATCTCTTTGAATATGCTTCCGGTGCATCATTCATGCACAATATGTACGAGCTAAAGTAAGGCTAAATGATAGTTAATTCTCTAAATTGTCAAAACTAGCGCAATAATTATAGGAAAAGCAGAAAAGTGGCCAGCTAGATTGATTGAATGATGCTTGGACCAAGATGAGCATACTGGGAATCATAATCATAGCAATAGAGGACAAAAGAGGGTTAGCTAATGGAAAGCTACAGATCAACTCATCTTGCCATCTCTTTTGACAATGAGCTATGCTCCTATTTGAACGCATTTAAGCTCGTATCATCCAATGAAAATTGTTGCTTTAGAAAGTATCTTCAAGTTGCAGAGGTTTTATTCCGCAAAGGTTCTTATCACGCTATCAAATCCATCTAGCTAGGTTCAAATCTCATCAGATTTGTTTTTCAAGTTAGAGAAAGCAAAGTGATATGTAGATGATACAATTGGTAGAAATAGATGGTTCTGACGGAAGAGACAACTTCAATTAATGACAAAAAAAAATATTTTAGAGGAACTAAAGCGAGTTCTAGAGACTTGTAATAAGATTGCATTCTCAAAGAAAGGTACTAGTTATATAGATTTCTTAAATCATCCCCTCATAATATTTTTTGAGGATATAATAATAAATGATAATTTTTATAGCTCCGTATTCTTATATGGCAAGCAGATATAAGCTTGCGTCGCAAATTTGAACAGAGCGTAAGGTTTCCATTTTCACTGGGCGCAAGTGCAAATGTCCGGACTTCATACAGATATAGCCCATTTGAAAAGCCCACTTTGGGCCGAGTTTGTGTGAGAAAATAGGACATCAATAAATAGTACAGTAAAACTTAGTTTATTAAGTCTTGGAGATACGTTAGATTTTCTAAATCAATTAAAATTTGTCACTCTAATTGAGTGCACATTCCCTTTTTTTTTAATTAGATCTCATAAAAAACTTAAACCATAACATCTAAAGTCAATTTTAATACAATCCGTGAGACCAAGTAGTGACAAGTGAGATGTATTCTCTCTAACTACGTAATGGCAAATCATCTTGCTTGTTTAATACTTGGTATCATAGTTAAAGTCCAAAAGAATAAGGGATCAAACCTTAAATTGAAGGGGCGGAGCTGGATTTTTATTTTATTTTATATATTCTATTTATTTATTTATTTATTGCACTTATTAGGGAAATCGAAGGAGGCCCTCGACTATCGACTAACTAGATATATCAACAAGCAGAGGCGAATTAATCTTTGCCGGGACTTTTCAAGCAAATATCCAGCAGATTGAAAACCACGACCAAACCCAATATATATTCAATTGATGGGGAATCACAAATCCGAAATAGCTTAAATCCTTCCACAAGCAAATCACCAAGATGGTGATTAAAAAAAAACAAGTTATTCCTTATGGACTAACTTCGTCAATCCATTCAATAAAAAAGTACAGCAGCACTCACAAGTCCATACACAGTTAATTACCTCAATCAATTAGTCTTCCTGCAATTAGTCCTAATCTCTCCATTACTCCCAGTAAGAGGACTAATATTCCCCATTTTAACCATCGCCGCCGCAAAATCAGTGAAGAACGTAGCCGAATTCGACGTATAAGAATTAACCTGCGAGTTTGTTGATCCTCCGTTGAACAGTTGTTGGTCTGAGTGTAAGACTCCCTTTTTGTTCACTAAATTCTTGTAGTAGAAATTGTCGAAAGTGTTCGGCGTTGAGAGGTCGAGAGGAGCCAGGTTGCCGTCGCCTCCTGAGCTTGGGCAGTTGGATTGCAGGGATTTTGCGAAGCTTGGGTCGATGTTGGACTCGTTGTAGACTCGGGTTCGGAAAACTGTGCACCTTGCTTGACCAATTGTGTGAGCTCCTGATGGGATATGCAACTCACAAGTCAGTTAAAAGAGCATGTTTGGCAATCTACTTCTTTTAACTTACAAGGTAGTTTTTACTTATGAGTACTCAAAAATAATGTTTGATAAAGTTTACTTATTTACTTATTTCTAGCTTATAAGTAGAAAAAAGAATAAATTGGGATTTCCCTACTCATTTTTTGGCCCTTATAAGAAACTTTATTTATTGATAGCAAAAGACTACTTTGCCCTATAACAAAACAAATAAGAATAAGTAACTTCAATAAATAAGTATTAGCCAAATTAAACATGCCCTAATGAGGAGATCGAAGATGATTTATAATTTGGCTAATTGCACGGGGAACCTCGTAGTATAGCACTTTCAAACTTACATTATCCGTATGATTTTTATTTTATTTTATTTTTTTGGCTCTTTTACATTTATTAGAAAAAGAGAAATTTGCTTTTGACAAATAGACTCCTCATATGGTAAAAGAGTCCAAAAAGGATTTCACCAACAGGATCTATTTACCGAAATTAAACTACAGGGGTTATATATACTTTTGTGGTAGTTCTCAATAATAGTTGAAATGGGATTTGAGACTTAATTATATATAATCTACTACGTGGATTATTTATTGGAATAATATATTTTAAAATCTACTTTAAATACACGCTCACATAGTTGAATTTCAATTTCTCTTAATATCATTTTACCGTCTTTACTATTACATCAGAACTTCAAAGCTAGGATGAGATTTGAGGGTTATAATTACACACTCTAATCTGGAAAAAAAAAAAAACTTGTTGGGTTATAGAAAAGTGAAGTTGAGCTTTGATGCAAAGAAAAAGATTTTAACCGATGTCAAAATTGCATTGATTGGTTACTAGTTACCGGAGAGGGTGACCATATCGGTGGTGCTGAGCCCTTTCTTGGAGAACGCCGAGATGAGAGTACTTAGATCAGAGGTCGGAGAGGGGAGGTCGGAGTTGGCGGTGCTGAGGCTCGCGGTGGTGGAGTCTCTTCTGCCTAATTGCACGGTCCATGAAGGCCCACCCAACTGAAAACAGGTTGCAATCAGCTGATCAAGACTTAGCATGACATCGGCCAATTTGCAAAATATTTTGTTGTCTCTTACCGCAACAACTGAATCACGAGCAGCGACAGCGACGATATCAGCACAGGACACGGTCTGCTTGCAAATTGCTTCGACATTGGATTTGATTGTGTCAATGACGTCGAATCCTCGCAACGAGTTGAGGTTTGGGCCGGCAGTTTTCTCTCCGGTGAAGCTTGAAGTGTCATCGAGCAGGACCGATCCATCGCATCCCTGTGAGCAGTTCCAACAAAGTTTATATAAAGCATCGTTCTTCAAATTTAGCAATTAAATTTAGAAAGAGAAATAGTCTCATATGAGCATAACCTAATTTAAAAAATGATTGTTTTCTCAGTACCTAGCTAGTTTTTGAAATTGTATATACATACCTAAATGAGCTATTAAGAGATAAACTATTGTAAGACTAACCTGCTAGTTACATCGGAAGATGTGAGACTTAGTGATAACTCATATTTAATATACATTGATACATTAATTACAGATCTCTTGTATATGTATAATATTTATTTTCAGTTGGAAATTTTGGATGAAAAAACGATTTGAAGATATGTACGGATATAAAAATATAAAAATAAATTAATTCAATTTTTTTGTTAAAGGGATTTGATGGCCAATGTCCTTATCTAAACCAATAAAGCTTCAAAATTGTCACACGGGCACACGGGGAACTTTTTTTTTAATAGCTAAAGTTCTTCGATGGTTGTTTGGGTAAAAATTCATCATCATGTTGCTTAACTTACCAGTAATAAACTTTATTTAAAACGTAAACAAACATTATTTCCCTTTGAGATGATCATTGACGTCATCAGGAGGAGCACGATTGACTCTTAAAAAAAATGTCTTAAAGGATGCCGAAAAATATAAAAGAAAAAGGATAGGCTAGTCGAGAGAATATGCGCCTGTGCATGCATGTAACTTTTATCGTGACAGCTAACTAGGTAGCAGTAGCACACATGTAGGGGGTAGGTTTCAGTACCTCACAAATTAAGTTATCTTTGAGTTATACAAGAATTTAAAATTTTGAATGAAAAAACTTTAAGTCCGTTTGGTTCCAAAAATTTTTTGGTGAATCCCTGACACAGCCCATGTTTTCTGTCAGAAATCACCCCAAAACGTCATTTTTTGGGGCGATTTGGGGTGAAACCTGCCACAGATGGGACACTGTGGCCGGTTTTCCCCTGTTTTTACCCTAAAAAAATCATTACCAAATAGCCCCTTAATACTTTTTCCACCACGATATCAAACAATTTCGTTTTAACTTGTTAAGTGAGAGAGCATTCTAATCGACGGAACCCCATTTTTTCCATCTTGCAGGGGAAAACAACAGTATCTGCTACAATTAAAATTATGATCAACAGCAAAGCTTATACAATTATCTAATTATATGATCAAACAAATCTTAATTAATCCTATAATAAGAGAAGTTGGAGGAAGGAGACTTGCATTGACGAAGCAATCATGGAAATGCATTCTAACAAGCGATGCACCCATCCGGAGCTCTTTAGACACAGCCGTGGTCACCGTAGATTTGATAGTCGAAAGAACATTAGGGCAAGATGTAGCATAGAAGTTCGACGATAACTGGGCTGAAGCTATCGACGCAGAGAACAATATTAGAAAGGAGAAGAAAACTAGAGAAAATGAGATTAACCTAGCCATTGCTATAGAATTCGTAATGCTAATTAACAAAAGGAAATGGAAGAAAGAGAGACACAGAGGTTTGAGGTGAGCAATGCTAGGGCATTATTGCACCAATTTATAGCCAAAGTGTAACAACCTCTAGGTTCAATTGATAATGGATTTTAGTGGTAGTAGAGTCAATGGGTCAAAGTTTCAAAGTTAAAGAAAACTAGTGGGAACCACCCAATAGTACAAGTCTACTTCTTAAGTCAAAGTTCGCCATCCTTAATTCTAGCTGATCAGCAATGATCCTGAGTAACAGAAAATACCCTTCCCAGTTCATGCTTCGATAAAATACAGCTGGGACCTACTAGAATTATAGTGGACCCCACCCATCACTTGTTTAAGTGATAAAAAATATTCATCTGAATCATTACACTGACCGTGCCTCAAAGAAAATAGTGTGCCCCGTGCAAAGCATGACTCCGTATTCTTTTAAGTATTATATTTTGAACTTGCATCCCTCTGAGTTTTAATACATTTAACTTGATTATTGTATACTTAAAATTAGAAATTATAACTACTATTCTATACTTTAAGGATGATCCAAGTTTTAATATATTTGATTTAGAATTCATATCGACTCCTTTATACTTAGAGGATGATCTAAGTATTCATACATTTGATTTGATTTACTATTTATGATACACTAAAATACTGTAGCATAAACAATAACTTCGGAAAAGTATAGTGGGAGATTTGATTTACTGTTCACTATACAGTAATTTGTTGCAACAGACGAACGCAGGGGGGTCGATTTACTGTTCATGGTACGGTAGTTTACTATACTATTTACTGTAGCATGAATAGTGATTACTTGGATTCTCCTGTAAGTGTAGAAGAATAGATATATACCTTAGATTATTGAAATTATATATGCATTTATCTAATGATTAATATTGCTTTAAAACACAACTAATACAGAATGGACCAAGTCCACTAAGTACTTCCTCTTGTTTACATAATCTATGTCCTCTTCAGACCCAGTAGTATTGGCTGAAGATGGTATTCTTGAAGGTTCATTACACGTGAATAACTATAAGTTGTGTAAGATAGACTCACCCTATGTTTTTTTATGTGTATCATGTGAAAATCAAGGAACTACAGTTCTCCACATAAAAAGTGGTTGCATATATATACCATTTTTTTGAAATAATTTAGATTACATATTGTGGGGACATAACTCTCGTGAAAATTAAGTGGTCAAAGACAATCCGAGTCCAAGAACAAAAGCATAGAATTTTGTTGAACGTTGTAGTATTATTATGAGATGAATGCAAAATTACAATACACCTTCAATTGCTTTACAGTGGTCAGAGAAGACGTTTGAAATCTCTCACCAAGGTCTAATGGCAAAGAGAGACTTCTGAATCACGCGTTATCATAATCATTTCAATTATCCGCATGACATGCTTCGTTATGACAAGACCGCGTGTATCTTTTCCACCAAAACTTTCATTGCCTTAAACAGGATTTCGCTAGGATTAGCGTAATTAAGGATGCACTTAGCTAGTGATAGTGGTTAAGGTGGGCTCCTGCTTTTTCTTAATTATTAATTAATTATCAAGCTAGTGCAGACTTTTAATTTACACCCACCCCGAGTGACCTGAATGGTCAAGAGGTTCCAATGAATCTTCTATGGTGTTGGGTTCAGTTCTGAGTTGGGTAAGTAAAAAAAAAACGAACTTTTTTATTTCCAAATGCTCAATCTAATTAACTCTAATGATTAATTTCCTTTAAAAAAGATTCTAATAATTAAGCTTTCCATATACTTCTATAAAGACATAGGTCCATTTTGAGATTATGCTGAGGGCCAAAGTATCCATATATAATCATGTTTTCTCTATTAAAGAGTTCGCGTTTTCGACCATAATCGTCTATCATTCAGGAAGCAATTATAATTTATTGTATGTTATAAATAGGAATGAGTGTGGTTCACAAAGAACATGGTTACAAATATATTTAAAGTGAATTGTAACCACTTTAGAAATAAAAGGAAATTTTTATATGATTTGGGAAAGGCTAATTTATTAGATTGGTATTTTTTTCTTGATTCACTTTACCACTTTGATATATTTTGTTATCCTGGCATTATTTTGATATTTTTTCTTGGCCCCATAATCAAATAGGTCCAAAAGTTAGTCGTCGGCCAAACATACCCACAAATTGCTGACATGGAGTGTATTAAAGGGCAATTAGCTTGGTAACTAGGATAATTGAAGCACGTGAAAAGCACGTGCTCTTCTCTCTCTTTCAATCAAAACTCAGAAAGAAATTAGATTAGGGTTAGGGTTTAAATCGAAGTTCCACCTTTTCAATTTCACCTTCATCGTCTCCATTTCTTGAATATTCAGTATGCTCTCTTTGGTATCGTTTGGCAAAGGGTTAAGTGAGGGGTTAAGGAGACTTAACCTCTTCTTCACTTAACCCCTTCTTAACCCGCCAAACACAGAAAATTTATACAAGGGTTAAAATGAGTAAACCCTTCATAATTTATCAAACATAAAAAATATAGAAGGGTTAATCTAACCCCTCTAGAGGGATTAAAATGAGTTAACCCCTCAAAATGAGGGGTTTACTAATACTCCATTTAGAATGATTACTTGAAGGACATGATTCGATGTGGATTCTTACATCCACCATTTTCTATAGGAATGAAGATGCTCTTGAATCGACATAGTTTGTTCTGTTCCTGCTAGGAACCTAATTTATGTTGGGTTGGTAAATAGGAATAGTACAATGATGGAGCTCGAGCAAAAAGTATTGATTCATTTATTGGGGGGAAGAATCTAGGGTTAGTAACAATTAATAAGTTAGACGAACTTCGTAAGTATATCCTCAATATTGAAATCAAAGAGTTCAAATTCAAAAAGTTTAAAATAAAAAAGTCAAATTGAAAAGGTGGAACTTCGATGCATTGACCACATACTCCTAAGCAAATTACTTGCCAACCAGGCTGCTGGCAATTTTTTTTTTAAACTGCTTTTTCCTTCCATTAATGAATAAATGATAACGAATAAATAAATTTCTTGCAATGAAATAGCCAAAATACATAAATGAACATATCATTTCGGGGAATCTTTGTCATACTGAAGCATTGACCACATACTCCTTTATCTTGCACTGTAGAAAATGAAGTAACCACTCTCTCATCCACACCAATCATTTGAAACATCAGTTGTATGCAACATATTGTGCATTCAAACTTGAACAGAATTACAGAATTCTTGTCCAATATCAATCATGTGAAACATCAAAAACATACTATATATCTTGCATTAGATAATGAACTAAAGTTTAAGATTAAGAAAAAAATCTTACCAAAACAAACTCATTTGTATATTGCTGCTTTCTGCAAGCTTAACAGCAGAATCATAATAGGACATACGCAACATATAGTCGACAAGGATTCGTTTCAACCTCTTATCGTTCCACTCATTCAAATTATCTGCATTTGTCTATTGATAATCAGTTTGAAATATGAAACGAATTCCTGCCATATCTGTTGGTTTAGGGCTAAAAGAATCATAATGTTTTTTTCCCGGTATGGTATAGCTGATATCTCTTTCCTTTTTCTAAGCACAATGTTATGTTTCCTACGTATTGGCTCTTTTGATTCTGGGATTGAAGAATCTAAAATATAAGATGAAATTGATTATTTCTATTGATAATTTCTATTAAGAATGAACTGGGCTTATTTTGATTTGTTAGATGAGAGCAAGCGGTGATACGTACTTGCAACATTGTGTGGAGACGGCGCTTTTGTTGGCGAAGATTGGTGCTAATGTGACGGCGTACTTGCAACATTGTGTGGAGACGGCGCTTTTGTTGGCGAAGATTGGTGCTAATGTGACGGTTGTTGCTGCAGGACTTTTGCATGATACTGGTGCTAATGTGACGGTTGTTGCTGCAGGACTTTTGCATGATACGCTTGATGATTCTTACATGGATTATTATTATATTCACAGAAGGTTTGGAGCTGGACTTGCTGATCTTGTTAAAGGGGTCAGTTTTTCTTCTTTAGCTTGACATCTCTGTTGCTTGGAATTTACCTGAGGAAACAGGAAAACCTTTGTAGCACAATCAGAGAACATTAAGTTGAACACGACATTGTTGTCTTACTGTAAAATAGAGCATATTTCAGCTACTAATCCAACAAGTTATTCCAAGTTCTAGCTTGTAAACAACATTGTCTTAAGAGGATAATCTGCAAGCTCAGATATGCTTACTCCTTTGTTATCCTTGCAGTCATATACATTGATAACTGTAAGAAGTTCCACCGGTAAATGGTTTGCAAAGTAAGCAGCCTGTTCCACAGGTAGCAACAAACTGTAAGGTTTTTGGTATAATATTAAAATGCAATATTCTTTAACTGTTAAAAAGAAAAAGAAAAAGAAAAAGAATAAGAAAACAGTGAGGGAATTCCTATGATATGGTAAAGAGTGTATATCATGTTTTGTTGGTCAAGCCAAAAATTAGCCATACTCAGGAATTCCTATGATATGGTAAAGAGTGTATATCATGTTTTGTTGGTCAAGCCAAAAATTAGCCATACTCAGCTTATTCCTATTTCTTACCAAGAGTGTATATCATGTTTTGTTGGTCAAGCCAAAAATTAGCCATACTCAGCTTATTCCTATTTCTTACCTGTCCTTAATGCCGTGCTCGGCATTATGAATCCTATAAGAATAGTTTCGTAATAACATCCTATATCATAAAAGGTTTCTCAAAGGCCTTTTTAAAAAAAATCATCCATGTTCTCTTAGTTCTCTCCTTCCACTATTCTCAAAAATCTTTTCTAAGCACAAATCCAAAAAGTGTGTGTTCAGATCAATTAGGAACCCCAAATGCTGACTTCCTTAGTAAAATACATATGAATAATGAAAAGTGTGTGTTCAGATCAATTAGGAACCCCAAATGCTGACTTCCTTAGTAAAATACATATGAATAATAAAATAAAATAACGTGGTCAGTAATATACCTGGAAATATGCATAATCTGGAGTTGTAGAAGAACTTTTCAAAAAAAAGACCTTTAGGGAGCAATTACAGTTTTCCTTTGCAAACCGTGAAATCAAATAGAACATCTCCTTGTGCCAAAACTCTTGTCTTTGCTTTGTACCATAAGGAACTAAAAAGATATGCCCATACTCGACGGGATTCACCTTAAATAAATGATCAGAGTAAATGAGAACATGAAGTAAAACACTTCGACATACAATCCCTATTCACGAGAAAAACAAACCTCAACATATACTCACATTAACCAGAATCAAGAATCCATGCATAGGAATTGCATGCGAAGGAATAAGTTGACTTTGACAACTCTCCTTTTCTCCACTTGCAATGCAAAATAGAAGATTCTCCCTGAGAATTTTCATATGAGTTGGCTTCTCAGGTCCTAATGGCTGGAGGGTATTTTTCTCAAACTCAGCAGGGAAGCTTAAGTTCCATTTATCATTAAACTGATTAAGCAAGTCCTTTTCACCCCCAATGATCTGCACAGACACCAAATATTGAGGCTTTAATAAGAACCGTATTCAAAACAACATTAAATCACTACTTATAATGTATAGTTATGCAAACAGCAAACACCTTTGTTTCACACATTGTTACATCATATTTGAGCAGGCCTTTCCATGAACAATCTTCCCACTGCAATTTTCCACCGATAAGACTATCATAAGATGTTCTTCTACAAAAAGTAAAGGTGGAGTGAATTACCGTAAGGTGTACCGCAGAAAGTAGGAGAGCATCCAGTAAGCTCTCATCAGCAGAGACACAATTGCCTTCAGTAGAATTACCAATCAGGTAAAGATGTGTCTTGATACCTGACAGACACCAATTCTCTGTAGTACATTAAGATAAAGCAACAAAATGCTCTCTGAGATGTAATTCAAAAGATTAGACTGACTTTGAGTTCAATGTCAGATAAAGTAATATAACTTGGCAATAAGGGTTATTCATGCTATCACATGATAATCAAGTGATAAGGGTTATTCATGCTATCACATGATAATCAAGTGAAAGATAAAATTTATTTTCCAACACTGAATAGATGTTATCAAAAGAAAGGATAAAATTTATTTTCCAACACTGAATAGATGTTATCAAAAGAAAGGAGTACCTCTAATGCAACATCAAGTGCATTTGAACCAACAGGATGAGCACTCAATTCTGCCAGGTACTTAACATGGTGCAATGCTGAAATTTCCAAGTAGACGGATCCTCTGCCACATAACTTTGTAAAGTTCCTAATTTGTAAAGTGCTGCTCCTTAAAGAAATCAGTTACCTTGATGACGAGCCGATGACAGTGGAGGTTTAGTAGCTTGCATTGATCGAAGGCTACTTTAACGATTGCCATAAAGAGGATGTGCCTGATCAAGGACTTGATATCTGTAAAAATAGCTACCTTCTCTAAAGAAAGCTATTGTTTCCTCTCAACAGGTTCAAGAAGCTGTGCTTGGTCATCATTTTTCTTGCGAACGACTCATTGACAATATTTTTTGTGCAGTATAGATAAGTTAAAAATAGTTGACATGAAAATTTAAATTAATAAAGTGAACTATTCTATGAATATGTATTTTGATTCACATAATTAAATGTTAAATTTAAGTTAATAACTGCAATAACAATCAAAGCATGCAATAGTTATCAAACAACTATATGAGCATATGCGTATAAATCATAAATTGTCCTAACAAATTAAATTCATCAATTAATAAACTTAAAAGCCTATGAAAAGCACATTTAAAATCCTTTAACCAATTTGTAAAGGTAATTAAAATTAAAAAACATTAATGTTTAATTTTTGTTGGCCTTTGATCAATCCTTCTCCACCTTGATCTTCTTTTTTGGTAAATCGAGAAATGAATCATCATCATCAATGTTGATTGTGATGTCCTCTTGGATTTGGATTTCTTGTGCTATTATCTTTCCTTGTGCACGTTCATCCTTTGACTTCTCATCCAACTTTACAAGGAACTTGTATGTCTTTCCGATGTTGAGAACAAACTTTTGAAAGAATGAACTCTGATTTTTTTTCTGTTTTAATGAGGAAAAAATTAAGATCTTATACATGAAATATATTATTTTATATGTATAAAATATAATAAAGTAAGAATTTACCTCTTTTATATCATCCATGAATTTTTGAGCATCGCATCCTATCAATGTTTCAGCTGCGTCAAAAAGTGTGACTCTTGCATTATCTGTTTCGTCTTCCACTATGATTTTGACAACATATCTACATTTTGTATTATAATTGTGCATAAGATGATATTTATATATTTAATCTTTATATTTTTATTTCATGAGTAATTGATAGTACTTTACCTCGGTATATTGTCTTCATTGTTTTTTTGACAATTTTGACATTTGTCATAAATATTTTTGTCAAAATTTTTATTGCAGCCTGTGCATGAGTAGTACCAAGCCTCATGTCTATTTAAGATATTACTTATTTTTCCAATAAAGCTGCCATATTGTGCCTGTAGATTTGTAAAAATTTAGTTAGTTATAATTTTAGTTTACATATATTTAGTAAAAAAAAATTATAAATTTTAAAATAATTGAAAAAAAAATATAGTAAAAAATGTATTTTTTAAAAATTAATGCAAAAGTAATAACTGTAAATGTATTTGAAACATCAATGAAACAATATCTATTTATATTAATTTTTTTAAAACTTAAGCTCTTGATTCATTACTATTTTATAGTAGGAATTTTAATATCATACCTTTGATGATTCTTATGAAGCTTGCATAATGTCACCAATATTCATTTTCATTGCATTTTTAAATAGCCTTGACAGAGCACCATTTGTCTTGATCTTCTCTTTTGAAAGAGCCCTGCATATAATTTTAAAAATATTTAAATTTTAATTTATTAAGTTACCTTTTTTTATTTGAATTACCATTCTCGCATGTCCTTAGCAAGTTGTATATCAGGGTTGATAAATATTGTTGATGCAATTTGCGAAGTCAAGCACAACTCCCCTGCATATATAATAGTTATAATTAGAATTGGATATTTTTTGATAATTAATTTACAATTCAATTTAAAAAATGATACCTTTGTACAATGATATTTTAAAATCTGATAGCGCTATTATAGTTGTCTCATGCTTATTTCCTTCAATCATTGAGCCTTCATTGACAGCTAAATCTCCGAATAAAGTTACAGACAATGTTATGTCACTGTATAAGAGAAGTTAGACAATTTTAGGTTAATATATTATATTTTGAATAATTAATTTATTGTGAAATAAAAGCATGCGTGTATACTCTTTGTCTACTATAATGATGTCCCGCCTTGTGTCTGCCTTATTATATCTTGTAACGTACTTGATCATAGGCTTGACATTTGCTATCATTGCAAGAACATCTGCACATAAATTTATAATAAGTTGAAAATTCTTTTATAAATTTATAAATTAAAAATAAAAGGTTTTTACAAATACTTACTTATATTCCTTGTATCCTCGTTGGAAATTGCGTCTTTGATTGAGATAAAGTTATTCAATATCTTATCAAATTGAAATTCTGCTTTTGACTCTTTGATAGAAATGTTTTTAGTCAATGTCAACTCAATTGACTCATGTACATTTCCATAAAGCGGGTTTATTGGTTTGACTTCTCCATTTGAGATGTAAAGAACATTATTCTTCTGAAGCATGTGCTTATACATTTCAATAGTTTCTCCAAACATAATACCTTGTATTTTTTTCCCCTGCAAATATTAGTAATATTATCTCACAAATATCAACAAATATCAATAAACATACCTATGTGGGAAACTTTTAAATAAACATACTCTAGGTTTGATTGAAATGTATCCATAATATTCGGGTCAAAAAAAATTACATTTTAACTCATCAACATAACTAACCTTATTTATATAAAGTTACCTGCTATTGAATTAGAATTTCTACTACTTACTAATAAGTCATTTGATCTCAAGTAACAAATTTAGTCGTTTTTACGGATTAGCTCTTTGTAAAAAATGAATTACATGTTGCTTACCTATTTAATAAATGCAGGAATTTTTTTATATGATTTTATACATAGTAAGGTGATAATAATTAATATAAGAATAAGCATCAACAATTATAATTTAATTAATATTTATAATTTATATTTATAAATTTATAAAAAATTGAGAAAGATTTGCATAGATTTAAAATAACGATTGCTATGGCATGATAAAAAGTTATGCATATTGTACTTAAAAATTGTATGTATTACTTTATTTAAGAATAAGTATCAACAAATATCAATAGAATTATAGCATGTAGAATTTTGCTACATTACCTATGAGTCGGCAAAAATTAATTTTAGTAGTTTTCCTGATCCTTTGTTGATCTCATAAGATGACTCGATAGTTCTTAGGATAACAACAAGAATAGTTCACTCTCTTTGAAATTTTTTTAGTTGGCGTATTTGGATGTGTGGAATTGGTGCTTCGTTGGTGGATGCCATCGTTCCTGCAAGATTTTGAATAGTTTGTTATATGTAAATAACAAAGAATTTGAAGTACTAAATAAACTCAAAAGAAAATTAAATAAGACTATTTCTATATCAAAGATGTGACACTAATTATAGTAATTTGAATTTATTAATTAATAATTTTATTTACAATGTTTAAAGTTATGTTAATTTTATTTAGTACATGATTTTGAATGAAAAGATTGAATGATGTAATAATGAATTGTAACTTTTTTAATTAATTTTAAGAAAAAAACTTTAATAAAAATTGCATCTACTTATTATATAATAAATTCCTAACCTTCAAATATGTTATTGGTCATTTGAATTATTCCTCGTGGTCGTTTGGCTGGAGAACTTCCTTGTATACAATATTTTTTGTGTATTGTTCCTCTTCTGCAAATTTTCCATCTGATGTTATTAAGACCTTGGTTGTCATCATAGAAGTACCCCGCGATAAAGCAACATATAATTGTCCATGAGAGAACACTGGTTCAGGTAGATAAATACCTACGTTAGGTATTGTTTGCCCTTGGGATTTATTAATTGTCATTGCAAAACATAATCTTATGGAAAATTGTTTGCGTTTGAACTTGAATGGTAATCCTTCATCTTCTGCTGGTGACAATGGTATTCTTGGCAAGAAAACTTCTTTCCCAGCATGTTGTCCCATTGTGATTTTAGCTTGAATTACATTGTAGTTAAAATCTTGACATACCATTCTTGTACCGTTGCACAGTCCATTAGTTGGATCCAAGTTCCTTAGTAAAATAATTGGACAATATTTTTTCAACAGTAGCTTGTGTGGCGGTAGTCCATTAGGGAGCAGAGTGTTCAAAAATTCTTCTTGGTAATGATGATTAGTGTCATCAAGTGCTTCATCAAAGCTATAGAATTCTTTTCCTTCTCCTGGAAACCTTTTTATTAGTCTATCATTTAACAAGTCAACATATTCATTTTTTGTTGCAATGATAGCTCTATCTTTCATATAGTCAATAGACTTAAAATTTTCATCTAAAGATGGAAAAATTGAATTTATGAGAGAATCTTCCGATAGCTCATCACCTTGATTCTGGATCAACATTGCAGTAGGCAGTTTTATGAGATCCTGTGTTACTGTTGGTTCATCTCCATTCCCAATCCTAAGAAGAAATTCACTGAATGATGTGTCTGATTTTGCTCTCATGTTTTTTGAAAGTTGTAGTTTGATCATTTTTCTCCATAAATGTGAGCTTACTAAACTTTCTTTGATAGTTTGTGATCTTGTTGAGCGAGGCACCACTGGTAAAACTTGTCTGAAATCACCACCAAATACAATAACTTTTCCGCCAAATGGTTCATCTTTATCCATTAAATCTCTTAGTGTTCTATCCAACGTTTCAATTGCAACGCGTTTAGCCATAGCAGCCTCGTCCTAAATTATTAGACGAGCTATTCTAAGGAGTTTTGATATCCCATCTTGCTTTGATATACCGCACATAGATGAATCTGTTGTTGGGATTTTGATTTTAAATCTCGAGTGTGCTGTTCTTCCACCAGGCATTATTACAGCTGTGACACCTGATGTCGCTGTAGCAAGAGCTATCATACCTTGTGATCTTACTTTGGCAAGTAGAGCGCGATATAAATAAGTCTTCCCAGTTCCTCCTGGACCGTCAATAAAGAAAACTCCACTTTTATTTTCTTCAACTCGTGATAATATTGTAGTGTATGCAGTATGTTGTTCATAGTTGAGTTTTGTTGCAGCATTTAGATCATCAGTTGAGATTTGTACATCTAGCTCTTCTTTTATTTCTCTTGGGTATGAACTTTCCTCTGTAATGTTTTTAGCTTGTAAAGGTGGCAAGTCAAAATTTTTAATATCATTTCCCATGCTCTCTAAGTAGAAGTTAATATTGAGAAGAGTATCATTTATCACCGAAGCTCTAGTAGTATTTGGTTTCCTTGAGAAGTCTTCAGATAATGATTCAATATATTTATCCCACAAATGATTAACATCTGTAGGCTCACAATGAACCAATATAGTTGCAAACAAACGTCGAAGTGCTGTTGGCATTTGGAAGACGATGGCTTCATCTAAGCACTCTCTTATGCTATCATCAGATTCCAAAAGACCTAATTTCTGAGCTGATTGCTTGAAAGATTTGCAATGAATACCATTTACCGTCAGTAGATCTTCAAATGATTTCGGACACCTAACGTGAGTAAGCAATAGTCGCAAGTAATATCTCTCTCCTTCAATTGGATTAGCCACATTTATTCGACCTATCACTTGTCTCTGTTTTCTTGGACGCCAAGATTTTGATGTTGAATCCCAAACATAACATTCAGGAAATTCCACATATAATAACTCCTTTTCATGGTCCTTTTCATGTTTCTTCTTGTTATCTTCTTTAATTTTTTTACACATAGTAAAAAATTCTGTAAGCATCGTCTTTGAGACATGTTCCAAGTGAATAAATTTCGATAGGTCTTGATGTTTCCAATATGAAACATATTGATGATTTGGCATGTGAAGTTGTAAGTTAATGACAGCCGGGAATATCTCATTAAGATGGAATTCATATATTCTCCAGAAAGCTTCCTGAGCTGATACCCATCTTGCATCTTGAAAATTCTTGATTTCATTCACAACTTTTTCACCTTCATTGTACTCAATGTTTACTGCCACTCTATCATGGCCTTTATATATGTACTTATAAAGGTATTTAACTGCTTTTATGCCTGAGCATATTTCAACATTGATGTGACAGTTATAACGTGTCAGCAAATAAGGATTATAAGGTACCACCCATTGATTATTAAGGATTTTGTTTCGAACCAACATTGTT